CCCCCCCACCCCTCTATCGAAGCGGTCTGCCCACAAGCCAAAACACGCCCAAAACCCTCAGCCCTTGTGGAACCCATTCAACAACCCTTATAACGACCTTTGTAGTAATTAACCTTCAGAAAATCCCTCACTGTGACCCTTACAGCAACCCTGAAAGGATGGATGTAGTCGATGAGGCTTTTCCACGTTCCACAAGCCCACTCTCGAAGAAGAGTCTGGCTTGCGTCCGCATCTGCACTTCCAGAGAACTTTCTAAGCTGCTTCCGCCAGGGGTCCGAAACCGGCGCCCAGAAAGCCTGGGATCCCGGCGAGGTTGCTAAGCACCTGCAGCAGCTTGCTTTATAGAGGTTAAGACGCTTCATACAGGGGTTTTCAAGGATTTTGTGTGAGTTTGCGTGGGTGTTAGACTGTTTTACGTATTATGCAGGGACGGAAGAGCACCAAGCCGGAAACCCTCTCCTCAAACCTGTCCCTAAACCCCACACCCCAAGACCTAAAGCTCTTGTTTGATGCCTATGAAACTCTGTCGTAGAGCCCCTGTGCACCCCTACGAAGCCAACGGAGCCTTGGCTCTCAAAACCAGCTCGTGCGGCTCCACTGCCCGCAGCTGGGAAAGCGCCTGTCGGGGAGGCTCCGCCACTTGGGACAAGGGATTCTTCTTGGAGCTGCTTTAGGGGTTCTGCAAGATTCTAAGGGTTTCTATGAGGGTTTCGTTGCTATGCGGGTGGAGAGCTTCAGGTTTTAGGGTAGAGGGCTTGGGTTCTAGGCTTTAAGACATTAGGGTGTAGTCCTGCGCTATATTAGATGAACTAGAACCATCAAAGCAACATGTCTTTGTGTCAAATCAGGTACAACCATTCACCCTGAAACCCTAAGGGTTCGGGAAACATTGAAGCCATCCCGCAAGTTGTCAGTTCATTTCCACACAGACGCTCAAGCTAAGATATATATATATATATATATGTGTATATATATGTACATATACTTATATACTTATCGTAAACCAAGCAGCGGCATATAACACAGCACGCAATGCTACACATTAAAGCCGACAGTCTTGTAGTGACCACAGTCTATATTTTAGAGCTGTAGACATCGTTGAACCCGGAACTCCTGAACGTTGCCACACGAAGCAGCACACATTTTTGTTGCATGTGGAATGTGCGTCCCAGGAGAGCCTTCATGCGAGGAACGAGAGCCCAGAACATCTGCCGTGGCAGGCACTTTATGCTTCAAGTCACCTTCAAGTCCCAGCGGCTTGAAGGCCATACTGACAAGAAGATAAGAAGAACACCGCTTTTCGGTACTACTCGCAGTGCCTGCGGCCCGGCATAGCAGTCCTGGAGGCCTCGTGCACCGGGCTACTGATACTAGTCGCTGCACTGTGCCCCGCCCACGTCTCACATCTCTGCGAGACAATCGGAAATGGTCTGCAGCTGCTCCGATGGGCAGAGGCTCAATGCAGCCTTCCCTCGTTCGGTCGATGCAGATGGTTCCGGTAAGGGCTGCGAGAACGTACCGCAGAAGGCCTCTTCCCTTCGGACCCTAGACCCCTAGGGGCCGACCTAAACCTGCTAGACCCCTAAACCCCTGAACCAAACAAAGATAAGACCTACACCAGCCCCCCACATCCACCTGCGTCCTACTCTGGATCGGTTCAGCGGCACCCTCCAGTCTGCTCCATTGCGACGTCGATCAAGTCCTGAAAGTTTCTGCGTTGAAGTTCGGGCGTGTGGGGTACGGGGCCGAGGGCTTCGGGTCTGGGGCTCAAGATTTAGGGCTCAGTGCTTCTACTGTAGACCCCACTTTGCCAATGAACAGACTCCCTGTCTTTCACGGCCCTCATGCTTTTCAAGCAGGTAATCAGGCACCGACATGTCTCGCAGACATTCGGAGACGGGTGGTGGTGTAGGGTTTTGGGTCGGGGGTTACTAGAGCCCCATAACAACCGCACGAACCGCTGCAGATAAACCTAGAAGACGAGAGAACAACCCCCATCAAGACCCTTATGAGCCCCTGGTAAAAAAAAAAACTAAAAGATAAAAACAAACCTACAACAAAACCCC